ACCCCAGCCCTTCAGCTTATGGTCAACATTGCAGCCTTTCCTTGAAGGTACCCTGGCCTGCCTCTGGCTCATTCCCCCCCTCCCCCAGAATCTCCTCTCCACATCTTTGTGTCTCTGCCCCTCAAATGTGGTTGTGTCTAGGCTGATCCTCCAGGCCGAAACCATCTTCCCCGTCCCAGTCCCACAGCCTCCTCTGGCTAACTCCTCAGTTTCTCTCTTGCTGTGTTGTCTGTCCCCGGCTTATCTCTCTTGCCTTCCCCACCCCATTCCAAGCTCCATGATGGCAGTGGGAAGGGTCTGGCCTCTGCAGGACTTCCTGGCCCTGGAGTCAGACAGAGTCCTCCCAGCTCCAACACTCTAGCCCTGGGCAACTCACTCTCCTGTCTCTTAGGGCTTTCCTTCCCCATCTGCAAAATGGAACTGCCTCCCAGGCTATGGGGGGAAGCAGACACACTAAGGGCTGGGGAAGGGCTCTGAGAACTAAAGGGTTGAGTGAATAAAGGCAGCTCCTCCCTGGGTTAGGGCTGCTCAGGCTTCGCTGGGGTAGGGGATATACAGAGGTCCCCAGGAGCAGGCTTGAAGGACAATAGGGCACCACTAATCCACCTGGCGTAGCGAAGGGCTGTGTGAGCTGAGGACCTGGAACTGACATGGGGGGTGATTCCTCTCTTCCTCTTTCAAATCTACAGTATTCACTGACGCAGGGGGATCTGGGAGACTGCTCAGGGCCCAGATGGGGCAGGGAGCAAGCCGGCTCACCACTCAGGCCCGTTCTACGTCAGGGCACAAAATCATGAGAAAGGAGGAGACATTCCCCAGGACAGAGTGAGGCTCCCTCCTGGGCTGGACCCTGGGGAACCTCTGGGCTCCAGGATGCAGCTGGAGCATCACTGAGTGACCAGGCTCCTCCTGGGCCAGGAACAGAGAAGGGGACTGTAAACTTCCAGAAAAGGGGCAAGCCAGAATTCTAATGAGCCTAGGACACGCTGCTTTAACCTCATGAATTTACTCGGGCCAGCATTTTGCTGTCTGACCCCTTCCCAGGAGCTGATTCAGGTCTCGGCTCAAGCCTACTTGACTCCAAGGTTCAGCCCATACCTTCTTCTTGAGCCCCTTGGACCTCTGAACCCCTGCAGCTGAGACCCACTGCTGTCTGAGCCCTAGACCTGAAGCAAAGACAGTCTAGACCCCATCCATCACCGACACTCATAGCACAGTGCTTCACGGTTGACACACGCCTCTCTCTCTTGTTCATTTTACCCTTGAAACAGACCTGGGAAGAAGCAGGGTAAGGACCACCATCACATCCTCATTCTCCAGAGGGGAAGCTGAGGCTCAGAGAGGTCGGAGAAGACTGGCGCAGGCTGGCAGTGGAAGATGCAGGGTGCTCCCAGCCCTGAGCGGTGCCTTCCTCACTCTGGGTCCTTGTTTCCTGTTTGGAGAGTACAGGTGTTGGCTGAGATGCCCTGCCAGGGCCCCCGTTATTTACTTACTGTGGACCCCCCGCACCTACCACACTTGTGTGAAGCCCCCTCAGTATGGGGGGTAAATCCTCCCCACCGGGGTTCTCAGTTCCCCGTCTCTCCCTGTCTTTACCTTTTCACCCTCCCTTGCATTCCCTAGGGGATGGCCCCCGTGCTGTTACCTGTAGGCACGTTCTTGGGGTGACTGCTGTGGGAGGGGAGCCAGCAGTCAGCTGACCCCGTGGCTGGGGACCAGGCCTGTTAGTCTGTGGGGTTGGGGAAGGGGCATCGGCCCCAGCCCTGCTGGAGGGCTGGGGTCTGGCCAGAGCCTGCTGGGCACCTGCCGAGTTCCAGTCGTGTGGGAAGAGAACCTGGTGTCCAGAAGCATCTGGAGGAAGGGCCAGACTGGGACTAGGAGGCCTGCGGTCAGCAGGGGAGTGGTCTCCGCCTGCACCCCCGCACCTCTCGTTCTAACCCACCTCTCACCTCGGCCTTCTTGGTTTCTCACCCACCGTGTCCCTTGGTCTCTCTGTGGGCAGGGCCTAGGGGTGGAGGCGAGGCCTATACAGAGGGCTGAAACGTAAATTTTTGTTATATTCAAATAAAAACATATGGATGGAGGCACCTGGTGGCTCAGATGGTTAAGCGTCTGCCTTCGGCTTGGGTCATGATCCCCGGGTCCTGGGATCGAACCCCGCATCAGGCTCCTAGCTCGGCGGGGAGCCTGCTTCTCCCTCTGCCTCTGCCTCTCCCCCTGCTCATGCTCTCTCTCTCTCTCTCTAATGGATAAATAAAATTAAAAAAAAAAAAACATATGGATGCTCATATTTTGGAGTTAACCACGTTTTAGCACATTTCCTTCTCTCTTTTTTTAATGTGGGACCCTTACAAAATGGAACCGGCCCCCCTTGGCCGGGTCGTGTCTGTCCCTCAGGCCTCTAGTCCTTGGGAAGCCCGTTGAAAGGAGCTCACGCTCCGTCGCCCCAGCCTCCTGGCTGCGCCGCCCGCTGGGGCCGCCAGGGGACGCCCGCGAACAGGCCCGGAGGGGAAGGCGGGGGCGGGGCCTCGAGGCCGGCCCGGCCAATAAAGGCGGCGGCGCGCGGCCGCGGCTGACTCCGCCCTCTGCGCGCGCTTAACCGTCGCTTCCGTCGTCTCCGCTCCTACCGCCGCTCTCCCACCCGGACCTGCCGCCGCGATGCTGGCGCTGCGCTGCGGCCCCCGCCTGCTCGGCCTGCTCCCGGTCCCGCGCTCCGCGCTGCTGCGCCTCCCCGCGGTCCGCGCCTGCAGCGGCGGCGGCGGCTCCCGGGACTCGTCCTCTTCTTCCCGGAACCCGCTCGTGTACCTGGACGTGGGCGCCGACGGGCAGCCGCTCGGCCGCGTGGTGCTGGAGGTGAGCGCCGTGCACCGGGACGCGCCCGGCGCTGTGCCCGACTCGCTGGGTGACCTTGCCCCCGACACCCGGCCATGGGCCTCAGTTTCCCCATCCCTAGAAGGGCGCATCAGATTGGTCTCTTCCGGTGTCCTCTCGGCACTTTGGAGGCGGGAGGGAGGGCAAGTGTGGAGGAAAGAGCTCAAGGTCAAGTCGTCGACTGTGAGAGCCCGGCCCTGCTGGCTGGCCCCGGGGTCGGGGAGAGGTGCTGAGACCTCGCGGGGTCAGCACCCAGACCCGGAACTCCCGGGTGGGTGTCGGGGTTCCAGGCAGCGGGCCGGCGGGGTGCGCTCACGTGGCGGCCCTTGCATAATGCGGAGCCGGCCCGGCCCCGCCCCCTCGGTGGGACTCACCCTCCTCCCGGGCGCTGGTGGTTTCTGGCAGGCCAGCCGGCCTCCTCTGGTGCAGGGCCCTCCGGGCTGACCCAGGACCCCAACTCCAACCCCACCACGCTCCGGGACTCACAAAGTAAGAACCAAATAGGGGGAACAAACGGGGGCGGGGGGAAGCTCAGGTGTAGCCCTCAAGCCCGACCCCTTTTTGAACAGCGAGACCTCCGTTAGTCCTCAGTTTCCTCTTCTGGAAATTGGGGACCACCCTCCTTCTCCCGTTTATTTTGGTGGTTCGGCGCCAGGGTGGTTCTTGAAGCTTGGAGGCAAGGGGCCTGCTTGGATGGCGCTCTGGCCTCCCGTTACCCCCCACCCCCGCCTCTCTAAGCCTGTTTCCCCCCTGCGCATTGAGCTTGGACTGGCGTCTCTCCGGGCCCTAAGTCTCTGATGCTTGGGGCCCAGCTGTAGTAACTCTGCCAGTTTTGCCCCTGGAAGTAGGCCAGGGTGGCACTGTCCTCTTCCGATGGGTAGGGAAACCGAGGCTGCCTCCTCCCAGCCTGGTTTCAGGAGACAACTAGCAGAGATGATAGCTCCCTAGGCTGCCTCTGGGAGCCACCGGCATGGAAGGGGCTCCTTGGCCGCTGTGGGAGTTGGGTGGTGAGGTTCGCTCCGTCACCTGCCTCTGGACTGACCATCTTCTCTTGTCCCTCTTCTCGCCCCCCAGCTGAAGGCAGATGTCGTCCCAAAGACAGCAGGTAAGCCGGGGCTTGGGGCCTTCTGAGTCTGGTCCAGATGGAAGACAGAGGGGCCAGGCCAGGTGGGTGGGATGGTGCGAGGAGTCGAGGCACAGAGACCCATGACCAAATGGGAGTTCCACATGAGGCTCAGCTGCCGGGTACCCTGGGCCAGCTTTCTGTCCCCCTCTGAGCCTCGGTGTTGGCCCTGCCCACCAGGCCAGGGTAGCCTTAGAATCAGTAGAAGCACTTGTAAATTTCTGCCAGGACCACTTCCTCCCCGCTGGTGCCGGATGGGGCGGTGGCTACATGGCCCAGGGACTCCCTGCCGGGAACGTGTGCTCTTGTCACAGTGCTTGGACACTGGGACACTGAGCTGTAAGAAGGAGGTGGCTTGCCCCAGGTCACACAGCCAGAGCAGACCCAGGGAGCGGGCCTGGGGTCTGTTCACCCCCCGTTCACCTCCTCGGGGGTAGAAGGGCGCTGGCTAGAACGAGTGGTGACCCTGGAGTTGCGGCCTGGCCCTGGTGACCTGCCTCTTCCCTCAACCCTCAGAGAACTTCAGAGCCCTGTGTACCGGGGAGAAGGGCTTCGGCTACAAAGGCTCTACCTTCCACAGAGTGATTCCATCCTTCATGTGTCAGGTATTGTGGCCCTGTCTGCCTCGGTTCCCTGTCTGTGAGGGGGGTGATAACAGGGGCCACCCTGTAGGGTGGTTGTGAGGATTAATGAGATACCGAGGGGAGAGCGACGGATTACTCTGTGGGCCTGTCTTCTCACCCAGAGACGGTGGAGCGGGTTGGGCGGCCCTGGCCCTTGAGCAACAGGGCAGTGGCAGGATGGGCTGGCTGGTGGAGCCTGTTGGGGGGGCCGGCATTGAGATCTGGATGTGCACGGGGGCGGGGAGTAGATCTTCAGGCTTTGGAGGACCAGCGTACTCAGGCAGTCTCGGACCAAGTCCCCTTGTGTGTCCCACTGAACACTTGGCACGCTTGGTGTGGGCGATAGGGAGGGAGGGAGACAACACTGACAAGAACGCCCAAGTCTGGACTCGGAGCTTCTTCTAGAGCGGGGCATCTTTCTTGGTTAAATGAATGTTCTTTAGTCATGTGTGCTGCCTGTTTTTCAAAAACACTGTATCAGAAGTTTGGGGCTAGATGTGGACAGCAGGAACTTCCCCAGGGGTCGAGACCCTCGCTGTGTGGTGGTCACCCTCTGTTAGGTCAGACCCTCCAGGGGTTGGAGTCTTGAGGCCCACAGACCGTAGAGGCAGGGGCATGAGTGTCATGACCTCTTTGAAGTCCTTCCAGCCCAGAATTCTCTCCCCCATTCCCTCCAGTCTGACCTGGGGCTGTCATCCTATTGTGGTGAGTAGCAGTGGGTGGGGGCCGGGCCTGCCGACGTGTCGAATGTGGTGACTGCAGGGACAGGGAGGGAGCCTGTGGCCATGGGACAGGCCTGGCCAAGCCTGTGGCTTTCTGCCCCAGAGGCCCTCCCAGCTCTGCCCGAGGGAGGCTGTGGATGACGTAGGAGCTGGAGGGGCGGTCCTGAGCCAGGCTAGAGTCTTCCTCTGAGCAGCATTGGGCAGGGGCGGGTCCTTCCAACGCTGGAGGGCTCTCTGAGGCATGAGTTGGCGGCACCGGGAGGCCCAGGCCAGGGTTTTGAATCGTCCCTGTCTGGGGACACCCTGCTGGTATTTGTGGGGGCTTAGGTCAGGCTGGTCGGGTCATCCCTGTCACCTGAGGATCATATCTCAGGAAGACAGCCATGACACCTTGGCCACAGGCTGGGGCTGGGGCCGACAGCCACTGGGTTCTTCTGGCCACTGCTCCCTTGGGCAAGCTGTGAGGAAGGATACTGGGCCTGGGGGGACTCCGTCCTGGGTCTGTAAGGTGTAGGGAGGCCACCGAGCCTGGTGAGGGGGGAAGTGCCTGGCAGGGAGTGGGGCTCAGCATAGGGAACTGGCTCTGTGCTGCTCCCCGACAGACCAGACATGGGCACAGGGACCCTCCCCTGGCCACCTCCCTGTCTCCCCTCCAAGAGTTGTGGGTAGAAAATTCTAGGTCACTACCTACTAATCGTCTCAGAATGGCCATTAGATCCTTTGAGAATCATTTAAAAAACTTGCCCAGATTTAAAAAAAAAGTGAATCATGTGAAAGGTAGGGTAGTTATTAATGGCAGAAAATATTGAAGCTTTATTTTTGCTTATTTTCCTTGTTATTTTATGAGTCCGGACAACCTTGGATGTTTTCTGACCCCTTGGTCTGCAGGGCTTCTGGCTGGGTGGGCCCCAGGTGGGTTGGGGGCCACCTCCCTGCGCCGCGGCAGCCTCCCCCTGCCAGCTCTGGGGGGCGGCTGCTCAGAAAGTGCTCTGTGCTCAACAGGCCGGCGACTTCACCAACCACAATGGCACCGGGGGCAAGTCCATCTATGGAAGCCGCTTTCCTGATGAGAACTTCACACTGAAGCACGTGGGACCAGGTGAGTGGGGGCCGCCATTCCCCGGTTTGAATGCCCTGAGCTCCAGCCCTGACGCTACCATGCCCACCATGCCCACCACGCCTGGGAGGCTGGGACCGATTGCTCGATATCCAGTGATGCCCCTTCCCTCCTTCAGCACTCCGGGTTGGAGTGTTGGTTTTCCTGGAGCTTTGTCATGCTGAGCTCTCCATTTAAAGAACAAGCCTTCCTTTGAGAAGCTGGGAGAGAAAGCCTTTCAGCAAAACCCAGCGTTGTGTCATGTTTTAAGACCCAAGATGCAGAGTGCCAAAGTCCCATTCTGGTCCTGCCATGGAGAGCTTCCACAAGGCCCTCTCCTCCCTGGGGCAGCACTGGTGGGCAGGCCCCGGGGAGCCGCTCGGCCTCTTTAGGCTCCAAGACCGTCAGACCCCAGTGGCCTTGTTGTGGGGGAAGCGGTCGCTCTTGTCAGTAGCTTCCCAGTGAGGTGCCTCCTGGGGCAGCATGGCTCCCTCCTGCCTGTTTCTGCAGGTGTCCTGTCCATGGCAAATGCAGGCCCCAACACCAACGGCTCCCAGTTCTTCATCTGCACCATAAAGACAGACTGGTGAGTCCCCCGCTCCGGGCTCCAGGCCCGCTGGGCACGAGGGGTGGCCTGGCAGCCAGAGGAGTGTTTGTGTGCTTCTGGGGGAAGGCAGTGTGAGGCTGCGCTGTGCTCTGGGGCAGGAACCCTCAGCCGGGCTGTGTGTCCGTGTGGGAGAAGGACCAAGTTTGTAAAAGGACTGAGGGAGAATGTGGGTTGTTCTTAGAACTGTGTCTGTGTTAGGCTTCCATTTGCTGTCAGCTGGAATTTTCGGCATGTGTTGTGCAAAAGGACTTTCACCACATACGTTTGGGACGTGCTGCAGAACCTACCAGGCCTCAAGATGGCCTGTGGAGGCAGCCTATTTGCTTGGTTTAAACTGTTGTTTCCCGGCTTACCTCGACCTTGGAACGCACCTTGGAGCGCTCTTGCCCACGTGCCTGTGGATCCCACCACCTAATAAGTTCCTCTGCCCAGAGTCCCCTGTGTCCTAGCCCTGAGGTATATGGGGTTGCGGGGAGAATAGCTGGCCAAGAGCTAATTCTTTAATAAAGCCCATTTCCTAGGACTTCAGGGAGACCTCAGTGGTAGGTGGATACCAGCTGTCTCTGGCCACCAAGCCGGAAGGGACACAGAGATGTCAGGGCGCAGGCAGGCCGTTGCTGGCTCCGCCTGTTCTTTGCTCCTTCCGCGGAACCCCCAGCAGATCCTGCAGTGCTGCCCTTGGCTGTAAGCAGTGTTGACCTTGCTGCCAGTGGACTAAGCTGCCTTTTGGATTCTTGGAACTCTCTCAAATGGAGAGCCACGCTTGCTATCTTGGCTTTGACCTTGCCACTCATGACCATTAAGATGGTTCTATTTACACGGACCTCTTATTTCTTGAGAGTAGTTGGATACCCTGTTAACTCCCTGTGTGGAACAAGAATAATTCACTTTCCATAGCTGAGGTTACCAGGATTCAGGTGAAGTGGCCCAGGGGCAAGGTCACACGGCAGGGGAGGCAGCACGTGCCCCAGAAGGGAGGGACCCTCTGGTGTATTTGGGGGAGCTCCGCAAGGCTTGATACCAGAGCCGTGAGGCGTGGGTCCAGACTTTCTGAGTGGGTCCCTTCCAGAATCCCTGTCTCCCCTAAATAGTTCCATGACCAGGTGACCGTGACATTGGGTGACATTGCACTACTCTTACTCTTACCTGGCTCAACTCACAGGTTGGATGGCAAGCATGTCGTGTTTGGCCATGTCAAAGAAGGCATGGATGTCGTGAAGAAAATCGAATCTTTCGGTTCCAGGAGTGGGAAGACGTCCAGGAAGATCGTCATTACAGACTGTGGCCAGTTGAGCTAATGGGCCTCGGCCACGGGGCGCTAGGCCGGTAGTGGCCGCCCGTGTGTTGACACACCAAGGCGGCCATGTCGGACGCCAGCAATGGTGCCCCGTCCGGTTGCCTGTGCTCATACCACCATCACTGTGTGCTGGAGGAAGGAGGAAGGCCTCTGCAGAACGTCTGGTCTCCACCGGGCCTGCCACACTGCTTCCCCAGTGTCCGCCCTCCCTCACCGCCCCATTTCTGGGATGAGTATCACGGACGTGATGTCACCACTCCTCATCAGGCCTTCTCTGTGATCCCCCAGCCCAAGTTCACCCGTGCCTTGGACTTCGGGGGGTGGTGATGGCTTAGCGTCGGGGACAGGTTTCTGCCTTTTCCTCAGCTGCGGGGGGAAAGCCAGCCGCTGCAAAAGGGCCATTATATCTGTGTAATGACCTCTTCTAATTGGAATATTTGATTAACAAGATTGCCGAGAGATGAAGCTGTGACACTTAACTACTCCGTGCCGTGGCAGGACCCCAGTTGGTGGCCGAAGCCACAGAACCCCAGAGCTTGGCCTTTGGAACGTAGTCGGGGCTTTTGTGCAGGGTCCTAGGCCACGGCATTTACCCCTGGCCACTGTGAATCCTGTTGGTTTGCTGCTGGGGTTTTTGAGGAAGAGTCCATGGGGGTAGAAGCAGACGAACCTGGGAACAAACCCACTGCGTACTGTGCCTAGTCCATGAATTGGTGAAAAATGGAAATGGCCCGAACGTGCTCTTGCAGAAAGTAAACATGTCTTTTCTGGAGGGCTTTGATTTTTCTGCGTTTAATAAATCTACTGATTTTGTATATAATACACTTGTGGGACGTTTATTTGTGTTCACTTGAAATGTGAAAATAAATCCTATTTCCTATGGAAGACTGTCTGGTGTCTGGTGGTTTTAGGAAGCAGGGTTTATAACTCAAGTATTTGGAGCCAACCTTTATTAAGTTACCACACACGTCTGGGCTGTGCTGAGGATTTTTACTTGGACTATCTCATTTAATCACTCCAGCAACCAAGGACAGTACTGTTGTCATCCTCAGAGACGAGATGGGCTCAGACAAGCGATCTTAGCCCCCACTGCCTGTCCGTAAGCACTGGCTAACCTCCCCCCCCACCAAAATCCCAGCTCCACTTCTTGGTGACCCTGCGTCTGTTTTCCTCAGCTGCATAATGGGGTAACAGTAATGGGCCATCATTTTAATACACACTCAAGTGACAGGGATGATGACATTTCCCATGTGTCAGAGTCTTAGAGAAGGATTTGTATTCATCTAAAGTTAGGTGTGGAGTTGACTATCCTAGACTTGCCACTTAACTTGGGATTCTAGGTGATTCTGAACTCACTGGGAAGGCAGCCTGGGGAGTGGGAGAGCATGATTCAGACCCCAAACAGCCAGAGATGGCACAGTCTGAGCGATAGAATAACCGCGTTCTGTTCACAATGTGAACGGAGTTATTTCACGTGGGGGCTCCCAGAGTCCGATTATGTGTGCTTCCTGTCGTTCTGAGGTCACAGTGGCTGGAGTTGGGTCATTTGGAGTCCTGGAGGGTTTCCATGAGGGTCCAGAGTTCAGCTGCATGGACCGGGAGCTCAGCTAGCCTAGCAGTTTTTAAACAATTCTCAAGAGCCATAGGGGTCCTCAGAACAAGGGGGAAAAGGGACATGGGCCCCTAAACTCCATTTTCAATCAGATCTCTTTTTTTCTTACTGAGGCTCTACAAGGGGTTTCATTTGAAGAATGGGATCTTGAGCCCAACAGTAATCAGGATAATGGTAGTAATAATTGGTGATTACTCATCCAGTCCAACATTTTACAGATAGGTGAAGTGAGGCTCCGAGTGGGGTCATGATGCCCCAGGAGACCCTTTGAGTCGCTTGGCAGAACAGGGGCATAGTCCCTGGGATGCACCAATCCAGAGGGCTCCCTGTGGGGAGCCTCTCCCAATGCCCCTTGGTCCTCCCATCCCCACATACAGGGCTCTTGTGATTTCTGAGGTCAAAGCCGCAACTTCTGTCCCTGTGGAGTTTTCTCTTGACCTCTGGGGACTCTAGGGAAGCAGTGGTGCTGGTGACGAGTGTGAGGGGCAGCCCCTCGAGTTGCGACCTGCTGGTCCCGTGGTGATTTCTGAGAGTCTCAGAGTCACAGAGCCTGTG